ACATCATAGGATTACGCACAGAATTATATCGACGTGTCGTGAGTGTTTTTAGTACCAATTCAACATGTCGTTTGACATGGCGTTAAAGCGAACATGGTGTGCGGGACTAATGTAACAGCAGAAAGGCTAGAAAATTAGGTGACACGTTAATTGAAAATGATATGTGTACAGAATCCACAAATCGATCGGTACAAATTTATTGTTATTAGCCATAGATTGATGGCAAATCAAAAGTTAGTTTTCAGTAGATTATAATTATCGCTGCCGTTTTAATCAATATCGAAATTATAAAGCCAAAGTGCACAGCAATCAATATTTATCCCGGGTTATATTGTAGATAATTATATTTTTCCCGGAAACTCGCGTTGTTTAACAGCACGAATTGTATTCGATTTCGCTCATTTATCATCAATAATTAGCGTTACCTGGCAATAACATATTTTTGCGATAATTATCACGAAAATTTGCTCCCAACATGAATTCTCCCATACCGGGATCGATATATTTATATTAACTAAAAGTTGCTTACACATACGTAATTTCGTTGCATTACGCGTGTATGATTAAATTCCAGATAGAACCAACATTTTCAGAGCGGCACACGTTTCTAAGGACTCCCTGCAGATCCGAGGACGTGGCGGATAGAGCAATCGTTTCGCCATTGTGTGTGCGGGGCAACTCCTCACCAATAATGGAAATGGAGAGGGCATTCGAGTAGAGATTGCGCTCGGTGGTAGATTGGTCTGACATCGTACAAAGCTCCGTAAAGAGACAACGCGATGCCTCTATATAGATTGCGATTCGTCTTTTTTTTTTTTTTTTTTTCTTTGAACAGAGATACCGTCTTTTCAAAGCGAAACATCTTGATCTTTCAAAGAGGGATGTTCCGTCTACAGTTTGACCAAAGCTTTTGTAGGCGCGACTTGAGATAACGTGTATATTTTTGATCCCCGAAATCTCTAAACTTTTTATATTACTAATTACTGATTTTATATTACTAACTTACTTACTTATTAATTTAGTGAATTTTATATTTCAAGATCTTGTTAAATTTTTTTTAACTTTTTACTTTAGTCAATAAATTAATGTCATATAATATGTTTTAATGTTTAGAGAGTACATAAAGTGAGTTTAGTTTGTTTTTTATTGCTAGAGATCATAGATTTTTATGGTCCATGGTGAATTCCTACTTGTGGTAAAAACTAGTCACATATGACAGAAAATAACTTTATTGTTTCGGAAAATGTAATTCCGCGGAAAATGCCGCTGTGGTGATGCTCGGTAAACTAACAACGTTGTAATCGGTTCTTCTTCGCTCGAACAAGACGTTTCTCTATTAGTTAGTTTGAAAGTCTTTTCCCACAGAAATCCACTGGGAGACATTTTGTTCCACGCGCCCCGAAACGTGTCATGTCCGAAAACGTCAAACTTTGTATGAAATCTAGAAACTCTTTTTTTTCGTCAAGTAATAGAGATTATCGATATATCAAAGACTTGACAGTCTATAGCATTTTGTAGCTGAGTTTAATTGATTAAAAATAAAAAAGAGAATGAAACTTTTTAAACCTTGAATTAATATCAAATGTTATTTGAAGTAAATTTTAATTTAAAATTATAAAAATACGCGTTAAAAGGTATAAGAAAATAGAACGTTTTTGATAAAAAATTTTATTTTCGAGAACACAGCATTGATTTAGATTTATCGAAAGTTAATGTACCTAATAATAATAATTTTATAACTTTACAGATGATTGAAAATGTTCATTATAGTAAAGGTATCCAGTTGAAGCAATAATCATTTGTCTTTTAAGAATTCAATCATGATATCGAATAAGAGAATAACGCGATAACGCGTAAAATTGGGAATCATTTTGCAAGCATTTTCTCTGATGCCTGCAAATTTGCTTTTTACATTCACGCATACATGCATGTACAGCCGGCGCCATACATTTCAGCGGCCGATAAAATGCGTGATGGAACGCGGTCCAAAGCGGAAACGGGTTTTTAATGTTTATTTTGAATCACATTTGCCGCGCTCATCGGCCGAAATGAGCATTTGAGCGATGATTTATAATCCGGGTCGACGCTCGGACGAAATCACCGGCTCGTTTTCATTGCTCACGCATTTTTTTCAAGCCGTGGGAGGCCATTCTTCTCTCTTCTCGTCGTTACTCAGCGTTTTAATAGCAAACGAGGAAACGGCGGAAAGCCGTTTAGCTGTTTCGAGATTCACTCACGTGCGCTTAATCGCTGCAGATTTTTACTTTTCTTGCTCTTTTGTTTCACATAGATCGCA